ACATTATCAACCAAAGCATTTTCTGGTTCAGTGGGGGTGGGGTTGGGAGGCATCATTTCATCCTTGAAAAATGGCTCATCACCAAGCTCAGGAAGAGCAGTGAAATCAGGGAAGTTTGATGCGGCCATTTTCTGAAAATTGATTGAACTTAAACTTTGTAAATGAAAGAGTAAGAAAATGAGTGATCGCGAGAAAATAACTTAGAAACAAAATCAAAGAGACAATATGAGAGATAGAATGAGAGTGAGATGAGAAGTTGTGAGTGAATTATTATGTGAGATTTATGGTGGAATTAATGAGTATTTATAGGGGGTTTTTGGGGTTTTTTCAGATTGTGACCGTTGGGCCCTTCGCGGGCCCAACGGTCATAATTAGGATGGGCTGAGGGCTTTTTCACGGGCCTGGGCAGGGCCGCGGGCCTTCACGAGCTACGGTTGGGCCGCGGGCCATCACGGGCTATGGTCGGGCTTGGGCTGCGGGCAGAGAAGCCGAGGCCCAGCCTTAGCCCATCAAATGTGTCGGGCCGGCAAGGCCCGTAACAATACCGTACCGGGTCATGTCGAATCCGACACTATTACGGGCTTGGTAGGGCTATCCATAAACGGCCCAGCCCATTTAACATCACTGGCAGCACCCTCTGTGAGCAAGCTGACCTCAATAAGCCGTAAACTTTCACTGCCATTTTTCTACACTTAAATTATAAATCCCTTAAACTACACTACAGCTTGCTAATTAGAGCTAACCATAGAGAGTATACTAGCTATTCTATATATAATATGCAGCAATATTATTTGATGTCCTTAGTTTTTTTTTCTTTTTTTCTCTTTTTGGCTAGCCTTTGAAGCCCCTAATTTGATGTTCACAAATGAGTTTATCTAAAGCTTAAGGATCTATTAGGCGCGTTTGTTTCTAGTTTTGAAAACGTTTTTCACGTTTTCCAATGAGAAAAAATTGAAAACAGAAGGAAGACTGTGTTTGGGAAGCACCGTACGAAAATAAAAAATAAAAACGTTTTTGTATTTCTCCTAAAAACTTATGCTTTTCAAGAAAACGGATTAAAGTCGTTTTTATTTTTCCCATTTCCATTTTCTCCAGCTTACCTCAATCCCTCTCGCCGTTCTTTTCTCTCCCTCTCGCCATTCTCTTATCTCCCTCTTCGCCATTCTCTTCTCTCCCTCTTCTCCGTTCTGATTGTCCAACATCACCAATAATCGTTTTCCTTTTTCCATTTTTATTTTTCCCGGTCTCAATCCTTGGTTTATTTTCTTTCCTTGACGACTCCTCTTCTCCGGTCTCTCTGTTCGCCGATCTGCATGGTTCCAATCGTCCCTCTTTCTAAGATTTGAGAAGATTTCACAAGATTTTCTCTCTCTTCAACAAGATTTGAAAAGATCTCAGATTCTCAGTTAGGGATTTGTGTTCCGGGATTCTCGGTGGAATTATTGAAAGTTGGGTTCAAATTTCCGAGGACCAAAAAAATGAGAAAATGCTTTGATTTGTGGGATTTGTGTTCTGGGTTTTTCTTTGATGTTTGTTGATATCTGATGACTTGTTAATGCTGGTTCTGTGTTTTTTACTTGCTGTTTGCTGATATTGAGCTTTGGGGATTGGTTTATTGTTTGTTGTTTGCCGTTGATTTTTGGAAAGTTTTGTGAAAAGGAAATGTTGACAAGGCCATGATGGATCCATCATCAAATAAGTCAAAGATTTATTTATTTTCAATCAATTCATTTTACATGAAGCTTGAGGGTCCATGGATGTCTGTGTTAATCTTTAGCCTTATTTTTCTATAAACAAGCAATGACATATGCGGTTTATCGATGTTGTTTGCTGTATTCTGTTTGCTGGTTTATGTGGTCCATGGATGCTGTTTGCTGTTTTCTGTTTTGTGGTTTATGTGGTGTTGATGAATTTTTTATTCAAAATGTTTGGTTGCTGTGAAACTGGAAAAATGAAAAAAAAAAAAAAAAAAAAAAAAAAAAAAAAGCACTCAGCCGGTTGTTCTTTATTAGTAGGGTGAAAATTTATGGTTATCCATAGATTATGATTTACATTATTTCAATTACTATTATATGCTTTTAAAAATGTAAAACTAAATACATTTTTAATTTTTTTATACTGAAAATAATCTTTAAAAAAAACTACCAAATGAATTTTCATAAATGATTCATGTTCGAGATTGAAAACATTTTCATTTTCATTTTTATACAAAAAATAAAATTATTTTAGAATAAGTTCTAAACAGACTTGCTATATACATATATGCCTCGTTCATTTCACCGATTTGAGTTTTTAGTTTTAGATTTTTACAGTAAAAAGTTCTCAGAAAATGTCACATCTAATTTTTTATACTACAGTAAAAAATTCTCAGAAAATGTTATATCTCAACTCAAATTAAAAACTCAAATTCGTGAAGTGAACGACCTGATAGTATATATATAGTAGACCCTCATTGTGATGGGTGCTAGCTGCCTAGCTTAGTTAGCCATGAGGTACGTACGCACGTGGTGGTTGTCATGCGATCGAGCTACTCTTTTTGTTGGATGAGAAGTCTAATATATATTTCATGGAGCGTTTTACAAAAGATACTATGTGTAAATAAGGTATGTTTATGAATGTTGGATCGTATTAAAAATAGGGAAGTTTTTATAGTGAGACTCTTTAAAAAAAAATATTAGTTAAGCATTTTGTTTTAACTGTTGGATTAAATTTTTAACAGTTAAATTTGTGTAGATCCGTATTAAAAATTCATAGCGCTATATATAACTGTTCACTCTGCAGATCTAATCGTTAAAAATGTAATTTAACGCTCAAAATAAGATGTTCTACCAGTGGATATTTTTAGGGAGTTTCACCGTAAAAAAAAAAACTAAAAATATATAAAAACATATCGAAAACGAAAAAACTACGTGAAATTGTAAGATTCTAATACTGATATGATTCATTGAGAAAAGATCCCGTTAATAGGTTACTTTTTCAGCTTTTACCCTAGAATTTCATTAGATATATATATATATGTATGTTATGTTTTGGAACTTAGTTTTCGGATGATATTGGGGTTGACACATGCTAATATGTCAATACTTTCAGGACCGGTGGTTGAGGGTATGTGAAGAAGAATCTCTCTAGTTGGTTTACCATTAAAGACTATTAGTACTCGCATATTGTTTAACGTGCTCTTTTTTTTTAATTATTATTTCAAAGCATTTTTTTCGTTTGATTAAGGTGTTATTAAGTGGTATGAATATGTGAAATTTTGTAAATGATAACTCCTACGAGGTCTAAACTGTTAGATTATTTATCCAAGAAAAAAAATGAACCGGATATGTCACTAGTCTTGATAATTTTTATTTTTAGAAATTAGATGAGGTAGTTAAATTTGGCTACCTCTTTTATATAATATGTTAAAATTATTATTTTTAAGAAAATGGTCAGTGACGGGCAAATTAGATATGATCGATTAGTGATTGACTAATTAATTATTGATTGATCGGTAAATCATTAATTTAGTTCAATCCTAACTATGATATGACGACAACTCTCATTTGATATCAGCCAAATACAAACCTAGATCTAATCACTAATCCGGCCCTAATCCTTGCACCTTAATTCAGCTTAAGTGGCGACCTTCAGCATTCATACCAATAACAACCTATTGGCCTTGGTTTCATTCTGGCCTCACCGCAACTTTAATTTTATTAATAATTTATTGTTATTTGTTTAATTTGTTGTTTGTGTATTTTGCTATTGTCGTTGTGTGAGTTATAAATATATTACATTAGCTATTATAATAGTTAAACTTAATTATTGAGATTTGAGATATTTAATACAAAGTTGAATATTCTCTTCAATCTAAAGGTTTTTCTCTCTTATGAAAAACTGTGAAAAAAATGTACGACGCACGCTAAATGATCGGGTTAGGACATTAATCCATAGGACCATTATTTGCCATCTCTATTGATCGTACTGTAATTATCAAAGATTTTAGGGGTCGTTCCTTTCCACTAAAATTTTAAAAAAATTTGAACTCAAATTATAATTTTATTTAAATTTATATTTTTTTATATAAAATTTAAATTTGAACTTGAGTTGGTCCGTTCACTTCGCTGATTTGAGTTTGTAATTTGAGTTGAGATGTGATTTTGTGTGAAAACTTTTTACTGTAGCAAAAAAGTTAGATGTGACTGTTTCTGAGAGCTTTTTACTTAGCAAAACTCAAATTCTAAACTCGAATCGGCGAAATGAACGAGGCCTTAATTTAATATTAACTTGAGTTTATGGTTAAAATATGAGTTTAAGGCCCCGTTCACTTCACCGATTCGAGTTTAACTACAGTAAAAAGTTCTCAGAAACAGTCACATCTAACTTTTTTGTTACAGTAAAAAGCTCTCACATAAAATCACATCTTAACTCGAATTACAAACTCGAATCAACGAAGTGAACGGACCCTAAATTTTCCTTTCAACTCAAGTTCCTAAACTCAACTCAAGTTAATGAACAATATTTTTTCGATTCTTAAAAACATTATAACTTTTTCGTTTTAATTTCAATTGAGATGATTCTTTTTTTTATGCATTTACAACAAATAGACGAATAAAACCTCACCCATATACCTTATTAAAATTTTCCATCATCATTGAATTTTTATTAAAATACTATGTAAATATAAACTCAAGTTTTGATCCACCTAAATACAAACTTAAAAAGATTCTCATCTCAAACTATAACTCAAATGTACACAATCAAACACAAATTCAAATTACAACTTCAATTTAAGTTATAACTCAAATTTAACTCAAGATCTATATTCAAGTCACCATAACTTAAAAATACAACTAAACAGGTGTTAATTACAAAAATAAATAAATAAAAAAACTACCACTCGTTACTTACAAAAAATTCAGGGGTTCTTACGCAAAAACCCTGAAAGAAAAAGAAAAAAGAAATCGTAAAATAGTCCAGATAAAAGGTGAAAAAGAAAAACACAGAGAGGGGAAAAAAAAGACCTAATAAAACCGAAAGCTGCAATTTTTAACGCCAAAAGCCGAAGAAGAACAGAGCATAACAAGTGAAACGAAGAGGGACAAAGACGAATTTACCAGTTCTTCGATTCGAGCTTCATAAAAAATCTCTTAGATCCGATTATTTGGTATGCTTTAGCCCTAATTTCTGCTCTGTTTTTCTCTAAATATTGTCGTCGTTGCCTTTAAATTGCTTTGCTTTTAACAATTCTAGAACCCTCACTTGATAATCCATATATGTATGTATGTATGTATGCATGTTTATATTTGAGGGCAGATTCTTCGTTGTTATGGTAGAATCATGATTTCTGGAGAGACTGTTTAGATGATGGTGTTTGATTTTGTGTTAACACTTAAAGAGAGATGTAAGATGATGTGGAAATCTCTGGAAAAGGGATTTTTTGATTTAGGAGGATTTTGCGGTTGTGGAAGGTTTGGTTGGGAGGCCAATGGTCAAATTCGTGGGAAAAATATTGGTTATTGGTGTTCATCATTGCCATAACCGTGTGTGTTTGTGCATATTATTACAGGAAAAAGAAAGAAAAGGAAAGGTTTTTCACATCCATTCCATTCCATTCAATTCAATTCGATTCGATCTTCTGAAAGGGTCATCTATCGGCGGCTTACGAAAGGGTTTGGCCAGAAATGGATCCAGGTCGCTATGGTCTTCAGCAAGGATGGGATAATAACAGCGTAATTGTGGTTTCCTCCTTAAAATAAAATCACACCTATATGGGATGATAATGCAAGAAATTATTAGGACCCCATGAGATTGTCCAATTTTTTTTTTGGGAATCTCATCCTTAAAGAAAAATGAGGAAAAGCCGTTGTGGGCAGTGAGGATATGGATTGGATTTGCCTAACTCCATCATATAATGATTGATTTTGTTGCTGACATAGCTTATTCTCTTCAATCCACAGGCTCTGGAGGGGTATGGGGGAGTTCATGAGCCGAACTTTGGGTGAGTGCTGACTGTTCCTTTTCATCTTCGCAGCGGTAATTTAGTGCCTTTTGGTAGAATTATTCGTGGTTGTGCAAAAAAAAAAAAAAAAAACATCACGAGTGGGGTTTAGTACTTTATTGTCTTTTGGGTAAAACTATTCATGGCATTAATAGTTTTCATTAGTATTTTCTAATTGTTGCTTTGTTATTGTCATGGTTTTTCTGCAATTTGAGTGCAAAGTATCACACCTTTTATCTTTTTCTTTTTGGTTCCAATTTTACGTGTTTTGGCAGGATTGGTGGTTCGTATGATGAGAGGAGGTTTTTAGATGAAAGGTATTCACGGGGTGACATCTATCCAAGAAATGCCTTCCGCCGTGACATTCCAGACAGGGATAACTACCCACCTCCTCCTTCTGTTGGTGTTTGGCCGCAGTCTAGAAGGCGAACTTATGAAGAAGAATTTCCGATTGATAGGGAATCAAGGCGACATGAGAAACAATATATTGACCATCCCTATCATGAGATGGATACTTTCCGTGATCCTGAGATCGATGCAGTTCGTGAATTTGACAAGTTTCAAGATGGTTATCGAAACCTTGACAATTATCGTGATCATGGATTTGACAAGTCTTTGAGGTATGGCGGGCGTGATCGAGATGATTATGCACATGATGACTATGACTATAGGTCTCGTGTTTCCCATCAAAACAGGGAGGATAGTCGTGAAAGGGGTTACGAGTACGGTCGACATAGTTATGATTCTGATTATGATAGAGGTAGTAGAAGAGATGGTAACTGGAGGAGGCGTGGATCGCGTGATCGGGAAAGAGATCAAAGTCCGTATAGAAGGCATGACCGGGAAAGAGATGAAAGCCCATATAGAAAGCGTGAATGCTCACGGTCCGACAGTTACTCTAGATCAAGGTCCCCTCGAGGTCGAAGCCATGGCCGAAGCCATCGAGAGGACAGCTATGACGATGCTCGAAGTGAAAGGACTGAGAGGAGACGTGACCGTGAAGAGAAGCGTCAGCGCGAGCCTTATTCTGTCGTATGATTTGCTCTTATGTGTACTTGTCAATTGTCTCATTTTATTAATCACATGCTATGGATTTTAATAAAGTTTACTTTTGTAGGCACCATCAGCCACTGTTGTTGTGAAGGGTCTGTCACAGAAAACAACGGAAGAAGATCTATACCAGATCCTTGTAATGTGTTAATTTGATGTTTTTGATTTTACTGCTTTAGGTTTAGCAATTGTTTGCTTGTTAACAGTTTATTTTGTCTGTCAGGCTGAATGGGGTCCTCTTCGTCATGTTCGTGTGATAAAAGAGCGAAATTCAGGCATCTCGAGAGGATTTGCTTTTATTGATTTCCTTTCTGTGGTACTCATGTCTTTCAACCTTATTCATTTTCTGTTTCCCATTTTGATCATTGAGTGCAAACCAAAGTGTTTTTGTCGAACAGGGAGCAGCATGTGCTATGATGGACAAGCTGGGGGAGGATGGTCTTGTTGTTGATGGCAGGAAGCTTTTCTTTGAGTATAGGTTTTTTTTTTCCCGTCTTCCCTGGCAATTTTCTATGTTTTTCGTTGCTATTTTTTTTAATGAATATGGTCATTGTGTTAAATGTTATTACCAATTAATGGAATATCTGCAATATCATTAAGAGGCTTGAGAGACATATATTTAACTGGTTTTTAACAGATAAACAAGAGTGTAAATCACGAGAAGGTAGAGAGCACGTTTTGTAACATTTTTCCCTTCAATAATATGGCGACGACTTTGTAGTATACATTATTTTTTAAGAGAAGTTTGTGATAAATATTCGTGGGTTATACGTATGGAGATAGTTCACTCGGTCCAATGCGTCTACGGGATAGGGGTTAGTTGAAAAATGAATTTGGAGCTCAGATAGGGATGGCTTGTGTACAAAATCTATGTCAGCGAGTACATAGCTTGTAAAAGTTTGTACCATCAGTGCTTTGGACATGTTGTTATGTACTTTTGCTGTAAGTGTAACTATTGGCTCTTTTAATTCTGTTGTGATGCAGTAGTAAGCCAACCGGGGGAGCGGGTGGATTGTTTGGTCAAGAGGGTTCTGCAAAATCAGGCCATCTTAGCCATAAAAGCATCACAGTGCCATCTGATTGGATGTGCACTAGTTGTGGCTATATAAATTTTGCACGGCGGACATCCTGCTTCCAGGTTTTTTTTTTCATCATTTTTTTGCGTAAAATTTTTGTTTGATGCTGAATAATGGATAATAGTAGAATACCTTTCTACTATAAAATTCCATGGTGTGAGCCTGTTATACCTGTTTGCAAATTAAGTGATTCCACAATAATCCAGTGTGAATTATGATTCGTGTGCATTGTTTTCTCCATGTTTCGCTTGCATTGTTTTCTCTATGAACTTTTTTCGCTCCAGTTTCTCGTTTGATGAAATTTGCGCTAAGTTCTATGCTGACTGCTGAAGTACTATATTTTTAAGGACTGCTTCGGTGATGAACTGCATTTTTTTTTCAAAAAGAAATATATTTTACCACATTATATGGGGGAAAAAATGAAAATGTTGGAATGGAGGGTTGTGTGAACTGGTGAATTATTTGTTGTATTTTGTGATGATCATCTTTTCTTTTCTTTTCTCTTCTTTATAGTGCAATGAAGCATGATCCGAAGAAAAAGAAATATATTTTACCACACTATATCAGGGAAAAAAATGAAAATGTTGGAATGGAGGGTCGTGTGAACTGGTGAATTATTTGTTGTATTTTGTGATGATCATCTTTTCTTTTCTTTATAGTGCAATGAAGCACGATCTGAAGATGCTCCTCCAGCAGATATTTCTCACTCAAACCCTTCAAGTTTGGGGAGAAAAGGACTAGAGTCAGGTTAGTTTGTATTCCTTGTTCAGCTGGTTGTGTTTGGAGGGATATATATGTTACATAATATGCTAAGTTTATACGTAGGTCCTACTCATGTATTGGTTGTCCGTGGACTGGACGAAAATGCTGATGAGGAAATGCTTCGTTATGAGTTTTCCAAGCATGCTCCAATTAAGGTGCAAAATTCTGAATAAGTATTTGAATATAAATTTTTTTTCCTTCCTTTTAGCTACAGGAGTTTTATTTTCTAATTAAAATATATTTACATGTAAAATGAGAAGTTTCATTGAACTTTCTATTGCAGGACCTTCGTCTTGTTAGAGACAAATTTACCCATGTTTCAAGGGGGTTTGCATTTGTTCATTTTCATTCGGTAAGCATAAATTTGATGTATAAAACTGGTTATACCATGCTTGTTAGAGAGATGATTAATATACTACAACAGATGAGAAAACACGTTTCAAATTCATTTGAAATTTTAACTAGTAGGTTTTGTTAGGAATAAATGTTTCAGATTACCACCCCCCACCCACCCTCCCACCCATGTTCAGTAATACATGAGAGAACAGAAAATACTTTTTTTTTTCACTGAAGAATTGAACCGTTCAGTACTTTTATGTATAACAATTTTTCCCCTGTGGTGTCCTGAAAGTCGGACAAGATACTTATGTTTTAGTTTGACCTTTATCCATGTGTTTAATTTCCTGCAGGTGGAAGATGCTACAAAAGCTCTAGAAGCAACAAATGGGACGACGCTCGAGAGGAATGGCCAGATTTTGAGAGTAGCATATGCAAAGAGCATTCTTGGTCCAGGATCAGGGACACCGGGGCATTCGCAGTCAAGCAGCCTTGCTGCCGCAGCAATTGAGGCAGCAACATTTGCTCAGCAGGTTCATCTCTCTGCCTAAAATAACCATAAATGTATTTTGTTTTGGAAGGCTGTACTGTGGATCGGCCATCATCTGTTGTTATTCTGTCATGAAAGATGGAGCTATTATACTATCATGGATTAGCTTTGTAGAATGACTTTGAATCACATCTATGACTTATGAAGCTTCACTCTCCTTAGCAGAGTTTGAAGACGTACATTCATAATTTCTTTTGAATTGAAAGGATTTCTTCTATTTTAGCTCAAGGATTATTGACACTTTATCCCCCGTAACTTTTTGTGGTTTGACAAGTTACAAAAACTCTTAGGGTGCGTTTGGAATTGATTTTTGCTCGTTTTTTAAAACGTTTTTACACACGAAAATGAAAACGGTCTTCAAACCGTGTTTGTTTAGCAAATGTTTTGAAAACGAAAATGAAAACAAAAAACAGTGAGAATAGTTTTTGTGAAGGAATTAGAAAACTGTTGAAAATTGTTTTTCCTTTTCTGTTTTCATTTCCTAGTACTTATTAACAATGTTATAATATATTAATTAATAATTATAACCAAACACGATTTCACTTTCTTTATTATACTCAAAACAATCTTTTAAAAAACCAACCAAACGCAATTTTAGAATCGGTCCCAGAATGGTTCTCAAAACAATCTCTTTTTTACTTTTGTTTTGAAAACAAAATCATTTTGAAAGTGTTACCAAACGGGCCCTTAATTTTTGCAATTAACCTGCTGAATTTGTTAACAGTTGCAATGTGGCCCAAATTGATAATGCTGCTTAAAATGATGACGAAAAGGGGGTCAATTGCTTAAATTAAAAGTTCAGAGGGCAATTTACCAAAGCACGAAAGTTCAGGGGGTACAGTGCCAAAAATGTGAGGCAATGGGTAATCTGTCACCAATCTAAATATTATTATTTGTCCCAAATCGCAACAATTTTGATACCAAAATTAGAAGTTCAGGGGACAAGTTTCCAAAACACGGAAGTTTGCTAAAGTAGCATTTTGTCTTTCTTTCCTATCCGTTTTGGATTACCAATCTCTTCTACCTTTTTTTTTGGTCAAATATTTGACTTACCTACATGTTGGCTTTGCTTTCTTTGATTGCTGATGTGACATACATTTCATGGAATTCTCATCCTATTTTTCTTTCTGCTTTGGTTTAGTATGATGCTGTTGGATGGACACCAAAAGAATACAATCCTGATGACAAACAATCTGTTGGAGGACAAGGGCAAAGTGGTGGGGAGATTGAAGTCCAGAAAGAGGGTTTGGCTCCGCGGTCTGGTTTTGTCTGGGACGAAGCATCTGGGTATTATTATGATGCTGCTTCTGGGTTCTACTATGATGGAAATACAGGTTCTATTTCCTTCTTGTTTGATTTTTTTCACCCTGGAAAATCTGTATGGAATCAATCATTTCAGGCATATTCACGGAAAAGGATTGTTTGTGAGGGGAAAAAATGCTTATTTTTAAATTCTAAATAGAACTTTAACATTCGTCTACATGATCTTGATAATTGCCATGCGAAGCAATAAAATATACTTTTTTCTCTAACTGTTATGTGAGCAAATGTGGAGAGTTTGACTAAACATATTAAGCATAGTAGCAGACTTAAATGTTTATTTTCGAATTCCACTGATCTAAGTTGAATGTTTTTGCTTATATAAATCATTTGACTATGATCTTCTCGTTCTGTTCCAGTAGTAGGAAGAGAGTGGATATGTAACATCCATTTACCTGAAAAGCGGAAACCTGATACTGGGTTATTCACTTTTATTGTTGTTGTCTTATAAGATCTTTTGAACTTAACTGACTCTGCCTCCTCTTCCTTAAAATGCAACGCCGATAGTGATGTATGATTTTGCTAATACCGCTTAAAAAATGCAATGCAAATGCTGAACATTAGCTATCGATTCCTTTTTATTATGGTTACTCCTGTTGAGGTTGACCCTTAGTGTTGGATATCTGATGTGGATTTTCACTAGGCTCGTGCATTATTATTGATGCCACTAGTGCGTCTGTATCTTTGTTTTTTTTTGGGTGATTATAAATGTTGGGCGCAGTGGTGTTTCATGGTTTATGACATGATGGAGATGTTGGCACTAAACGGTGTTCAAGTTTCATAATGATTAAGTTTGCGCATTTGTGTCTGTTTCGTCCATACTGAACACAGACATTTCCTAACATAATGGTAACTCTTAAAGGGAAAAAGAAAAAATTACATTAAACAACGAAATTCTATGACTTGACAAATTTCGTTTTCTTGTTCTTCAAAGGGTACCAATTCATAAACTTTGACATGTAGGATAGAAGCATAAACTGTACAATGTAAACCTTTTTTCTTTGTTTTTTGAGGGGGTACTTATGAAGTTTTAAATTAACCTATTTTTGCACTCTTCTTCCATGTACAGGTCTTTATTATGATAGCAATAATGGACTTTGGTATTCTTATGATCACCAAACGCAACAGTACATCCCTTGCACAGATCAGAATAACAACAAAGCGTCTACTGGCCACTCTGAATTTTCCAAGGCAGCAGATGGTTCTAATGACAGAAAGGTAGTGATTTCCGCACCAGCTACCACCTCAACATCATTGGAGAAGGGATCATCGTTACCGGATGCTGTCCAGGCTGCTGCAACAGCAGCGATAGCAGCAGAGAAGAAAGAGAAAGAAAAGTCTAAAGAGATTAAGTTGGCCTCAAAGAACAGTATTCTTGCTAATAAGAAGAAAATGAACAATGTATTGACAATGTGGAAGCAGAGGAGTCATGAAGGGCAAGCAACCCGTGTCGCTTTGGATGAAAATCAGTCAACTGTGTCAGCTGATGATAGACCTCTGTATGGTGGACAATCCACAAAGAGCAAGCCCAAGACTGAATTATTGAGTACAAAAGAGAATAATACATCAGGTTCAGGACTTCCTGCTGCTGTTTCTGTGGCCCATAATGTTGGTATAGAGACTCCAGTTAAGCCGAGGCCCATGAGTGACAGTTTGGGTCGGAGTTTGATGGGGGTCATAAGGGGCTCTGGGAGAGGAGTCGTTAAATCAAATACTTCATTTTCTGGATCATCAACTGGAGTCTCTACTTCTTCTGCTTCTTCTGCAAGTATGGCTGTGTTAGCTCCAACGGCTAATGCAGAGACTCCTCATGTCGTGACATCGTTCAAAACAGATTCATCCGCATTGGGGTCCTACACTAACTCACCACCTGTTTCTGCTGGGAGTGGCAAGAGGAGGTTCTCCGAAGTGCCTCTCAGCTCAGCTCCTAGTCACAAGGAACAACCTCAGAGCACGTATAGAGATCGTGCAGCTGAGAGGAGGAGCCTCTATGGCTCATCTTCTTCTGTAGGAGATGATTTGTCTGATGTTGGTCTTGGAGATTCAAGTAAGTTTCCTGTTACTTTTTTGTTCCTCTTTTTCCTTTGTATCGTTTACTTCTTTAGAATGGCATGTATGTTGATCTTGTGTTAGAAGCTCATCACACAGGTATGATGGTCAACTTACTAAGATGTGAAAACTCTTCATGTCCTCCTGCATTGTTGCCCTTCAAATTGTTTATGCAGTTTCTGTCCATGCTATTGGATATTTTTCAGTCGCTAGTTACCCGAATAGCTTATTTTAGTTTCCAACATAATGGTTCCAATTTCCATTGCTTGTTTCATAATGTCGTCTTAATTTGTGAGAAATCCTGTGTTTACCATTCTTGAACATCCAAGATCGAGATTTTGCTTTGAGAAAGGGTTTGTTGGATCCAATGCCTTTCCCCCCCGGTGTTGGTGGAGGACGTCCTGCTGCAGAGGCAATCGACAGCTATGAGGTGATTACGACAGACAGAGCAATTGATGAGAACAATGTAGGCAACCGAATGCTCCGCAGCATGGGATGGCATGAAGGCCTGGTAATGAGCTCCTTTTATACTTGCGAAATGCCAGTTTCATTTGTGGCGCCACTTTTTATAAACAACTGCACTTGATAAGTTTGATTACCCCCTTCCTGCCCTCCCCAGGCTTTCTTCGGTATCTGTTCCTTTTTGCTGAAGTGTAATAGTACAACTCTAAAGTTTGTTAACGATGTTACATTTCTTCCTTCTTGAATGGAAGATGATACATATCATGAAAAAACAATTTTATGATACCTCAAGTCTCATAAAACTAAAGTATAACATGTTAGGCGTTAAAAAAGGCTTGGGCAAAACAGTAATTTCAATCGTTATAGAACCTAGAATTTTGATACATGCATTCATGATGTCTATATAAACTTTTTCATGATATGTTTCATTATTCTTCTTGAATGTATTAGAGATGGTGCCTTCCTGCCCTCTCTTGACGGGATTAATGACGTTCGAGTGGTGTCTGGTCTGCTGTATTGATTCTAATAGTTTCACTCTGGTATTGCTTCTTCTTGTTTCGCTATTGGATCTGATGCACAGGGATTAGGGAAAGATGGAAGCGGGATGATAGAGCCAGTGCAGGCACAAGCCTCCGATAGTAGAGCGGGACTTGGGAGTAGTAGGCAAAAGAAATTGGATCCAAGCCTTGAGGTGCAGGCTGGGGACAGTTACAAGACTCTCATTCACAAGAAGGCTCTTGCTCGGTTTCGGGAGATGTCTTAGGTACACAAAGAATATGGCGATTGTTTCAGTATGTCAATAGATCTGATTATAATTCACTTAGGAAAGAAAATGGGGCCAAAGCTTGAGTTTTGATGTAGAAAAGGATCAATAATATATAGATTTTTCAGGTCATGCTTCATTTAATTTTTTCTTTTTTCATTAATTTTCTTTTGAAGATTGCTTCACTCATGTTTATTTGTGACATAGGGAACTTTTCTATGACTCATAAAGTTCTACTTTGAACGCTTTGTTTGGTATCAATATCATCAATCATGAACCGACATCTTGTTTACACTTTCTTTGGACCTGTTATGGCTTGACTTGTAAGAGAAGTCGTATCTACCATAAGCAATAGATCCTAAAAGGCCAAGTCAAAATCCGAGGAGACAGAAAATTTCCCAAGTTAAAGAAATTCTGGCTAGATATGTCCAGTTTAAGTAAATTCTAAGCTCTGGATTTGATTGATATTGAGAATGAGACTCTCACCGTTGGTTAAATCTCAAAAAGATAATGATAATAATCTCTCTACTATAGATAATAATAAGGTTATTGATAATAATGTTGAAGTTAATGACATTAACGTGAATACTGGAAGTCTGTAACTACTATTGACGTTGGCAAATTGCTAATATTGATTTGGTGACCAATAGAGCCGATGATTCCATTGCTCTGCCAGATTTGAAGATCGATGACAATATCTCCAACTATTCAAGAGCATACCGTCCAAGTTTCTCAATGTACATTGGGATTTGGAGTGGCCACCCAAGACGAGGGTGGACGTCCGCTCCACCTTGACCTTTTTTTCTTCTTTTTAATTTTGTAAATGAATATTTATAAAAGTGTATATTATGGTCCGTTCATTTCATTGATTCGAGTTTAGAAAAATCGAGTTTTATTACAGCAAAAGCTCTTAGAAACAGTCACATCTAATTTTTTTGTTACAGTAAAATGTTATCACATAAAGTCATATCTTAACTCGAATTAACGAACTAAACGGACCCTATATGTCCCCTTACAATTCTACATCGCTTTATTTGTCCCATCTCATTAGTTCAGTTACGTGCATCCTCATCGTCGACTAATTTTTCTGTTTCGGCCTCTGATTGCGGTCAACCAAAGAAGTAGCTCCCCTACCAATTATAAAACTTAAATTTGGTGATAGTTAAGACTCAAGATGACGAGAACAGAGAGTGAATAAGATCATATTGATGAAGTTCATTATGGTAAGCAGTAAGGAGGTTTTGAGAGTTCAAAGTTGCTGGTGATGCAAGTCCAGTGTGAGTGTGCCTCATGAAAAATGTCGTTAATGTTCCACGTATGGAACGTGGTAGTTTGATGAAAAAATTGACAGCTATAAAATTGCTCAGAAAAGATAGAATCTCACTGATCCCAAAAAGAAAAATGCCCCTATGCTCTTCATGCTTGAAATAAGAAGGGTTTCAAACTTCATAGATAAGACTTACCATTAGATTTCAGTGGTAGCTTATGTATGATTTTTCTTGTTTATCTTTCTTTTTTCTTTTTTTTTTTGTTCTTTAATTTTTGTGGCTGGATTCCCATTTTTTCCTCCTTTTTTACAATGAATTTTGAGTGGGATGTTCATTAGTTAAATTCTCTCTCCATTACATAATAAAATGTGTTAAGAATATATATTTCTCTTTTTTTTTTTTGGGAATAAGGAGGATCCAAACTTGGGACCTCAATCGGTTGACGTTATTATGGAACCATTTTTCAAAGTGTACAAGTAGAATATTCAGACATAAATTTTTGTATAAATTTTTGTATGTTTAACGTGTACCTTTTTTTGGTCAAGATAAAAAAAAATTAACAAATCTCTTCATTGATTTATTTATTATTTTTTGCTGGAAAAAAATTGAATTATACCGACCTGTATTTGGATTGCAATATTCCTTTTTTTTTATTTATTTTTTTAATCAGACAATGCACCGGTTTATGCATTAATATTGGGGAAACAAAGGAAACGAGAACATCACTTTGCATTTTACAACATTTTTTTTTTGCTCCGATTGCATTTTACAACATTGCTGAGCCGGGTAACATTACTTTCAACTATTTTTAATATTCAAAGACAAATTTTCATGTCTTCTAATAACTTGACTTTGAAAATTGAAGGGGAACATTTTCTCAGTTTGATATACCAATATAAAATGAGACTACTGCAGATTGGCACCAATATCATCTAATAATAAAATAGAAAAAAAAAAAGAAGAAAACGTTGCTCTCTTTTTCTCACTTTATCTTTTCTTTAAAAATAAATTACTAGGGTAAAAACAAAAATTTCTAGTCTCTTAATTTGTCTTGTATATATTCTTGTCCCTATATTGAGCATCAAATTAAATCAACGTAGCTTTCATTTGTACGAATTAGAAATTAGTTAATAATGATTAAGGCGTTTGTTTGTTTCATAGATTAAAATCACATTTAAAATCTTTTTTTACAGTATTTTCTCTCATAAAAATTTTAAATTTTTATTTTTATTTTTTATTTTAATCTATGAACTAAACAACATCTAATCGACTCCCAGCTGAGTGCATCGAATGTAAGGGATTTCAGTCTTTCTTTTAATTAAGTTGCTTTTGGGATTCTTCACGTTTGGCAGCTAGTACTACATTCACAATGATTTTGCAGGAGAAGACTAGATTCATTATTCACGTGAGTCGAATCTCTTGTTGGTTTAAAGGAAGTACCGGAAAAATGAAGTGGTTTGAATTTTGAATTTTGGACCATTTGTTGAATAACGCACTTGAATTGATATATACATATACATATACATATATATATATATTACGTACGATAAATATTATTAATTAAGACCAACTTTACCTTATACAGTTTGTTACACATTAATATATCTAGAACATAACTAATTTTCTGAGGAGTGTAAGAGGTGGAGTTTATTTACTACAAAATATGACAACTTCAACTGTTCAACATCGTATTATATAAATTATGTCGATCTATATAAATAATATCATCATTATATATATATATATATGTAAGTTTTTTAACATAATTAAATACCACCAAAGGGAAAAATAGATTAAAAAGAAAAGATCAGAAAAAAAGAAAAAGTGCATTGTAGTGTTGAAGTCTGCCGAATTTGATATCGTTAAACGTGGTTGACTGGATTGGCTGCTTTCTGCCACTTGTGAGGTCTTCTTCCATTGTAGAAAGCCATCGTCTTCATCACATGCCCTGAAAAAGGCAAAAAAAAAAAGAAAAAAGAAAAAAAAAAGGTACCATTTATCATAGAATTCAAAAAAGATGGATGTTGACAGTCATCCTTCTTACTCCCGGGTCTTTTGCTTTGGCGGCTATTTTGTTTCAAAGACAAAGTTCTATGGAAGCCATCTAGCTAGTGCTTTTTATGCTGAAGTATTTTTCAATAGCCCTAATTTTGGTAACTCCGTACAGTTCTATTTATATTTTATTTGCTGGACATTCACTTTTTATATAGTTGGTCTTGTCTTGCGGTAAAGTTTTCTAGCATATCTTCCTTTCAATGTTTTAAAATAGAAGTTCCATTTCCACCAAGTTGAATACAACAAACTGTCATAATCTTGTTTATATATAAAGAAGTAAATTTATTTTTTGACAATTGTAGGGACATATTTGGTGTTAGCACCACACACTAATAAAATATGGATATTATAATACGAGATCCACTTAAATATTCATATACATACTCATAACAAAATCCGTCTACTCACAAATAGTAGGCTTAGGGATCCTAAATCATTATGTAAAAGTAACGGAGATTTAACTCCAAAAAGATATTTATTTTACACCGGTGATGTCTCAGATACTTTTCTTTGCTCTAGCAAGGAAAGATAACTTACTATGTAATGTAACCAACTAAATAGAGCTTTTTTTTCCTTTTGACAAAGTTTTGACGATATTTGGCAAGCTCAATGTTCTTGAGAGAACAACTATAAGTACTACTTCAAATTATCTTAAAAGGGAATTACAAATGAATTTTTTTTCCCTTACAATTAATTAATTAAATGTAAATCACTTTCCACATACGTGGCACGAGCCTGAAGTGCACGATTTGCATGGATAAATAGGCAGTAGTGTTTGTCACACTACAAAACGGAATAATTAGCAAAGAAAATGACTGGCTCTAACTTTGTGAGATTCGCAACAAATAAATAAATTAGCTATACCCTTGTATAAAAACTCAATGACTTGGATCTAGTGAATTGGACCATGGATGATGCTACAAAGTCCAAGAGTATTGTTTCAGCAACCAAAAATAAAAAGTCCAATAGTATTGAATCAGTCAACTTCCATAACATTCAGTGATATGGAACCAATTTTTTTTAATTTTCTTTTCTTTTATTTTTCTAGTGGAAGCATTAGTCAAAAGATAAATTTTTGGCTAAAATAAGAATATTTATAATACTTTAAACTGCATTATATGTTTGGGTCCCAAAATATTCATATATTTAAGTAGTTTAGTTGAATATTGCTGGTTTACTTGGATTTTTAAGTTTGAGCCGAATGAGGATCATATTTAAAATTTTTGTTACAAGGTGTGAGCACTAGTTGTTAGATGTTACAAGCAAATATAAAGATAACAAAATTTGAGTAGGGGAATCACTGAAATTTTCTAAAATGAAAAAAAAAAATTGTCGACAATATATATATATATATATATATATTTTTTTTTTCATATTGTATCGCCACACACGAGACGTGGATTAATTGCATAAAAAGTATTATTACTACTTAATTAGTCTCTTGCAAACTTAATGATAATTCCGCATTTACCACAGGATGTAGAGTTGAAATTCGAAAAGAAAAAAACCACTAAACTATTAGTCTCATATGCGTATTGATCTTGCATCTAGAATTAATGAAATTTTTGTTTGATGGTACCTCAAATGTGAAAAGTAGTTTTGTTTTGTCTGTTCCCCAAATAACAATACCACTACCCGCCATGACCTTGTCCTGCTAGACTGCGACATCAATGGCCAACAAATTCGTAATCTACATGCGCCGAATCAAATAAGAGAGAAAATGAGCCAAAACATCAATATTCTTTGGTGATGGGAATAGTCCAAAAGAAAGGTTGGTTGCAACAAAATAATTTGAACAACTTTTTTGTTGGAGCAAAATGAGTTGGACATCAATTTTTCCATGAATAATACTAAAGGGAGTTTTGACTATTGTGCTGGGTTTGGACTTGTAATGAATTCAATTGGGACGTACGTGTAGATAGGGTGTTGATGATATAAAGGTTGATAAAAGAT